TGTGATGCAGAAGCAGAGAGAGCTCACCCTAACCCAGTCTGACTGTCCACAGGTCCTGAGCTTTATATTAGTCCTTTCAGTGAATCACTCTGAGCCACGAGTCTCAGCGTCACGTTTAAGGACAGTCTGACAAAACACGTCACGTTTAAGGACAGTCTGACAAAACACGTCACGTTTAAGGACAGTCTGACAAAACACGTCACGTTTAAGGACAGTCTGACAAAACACGTCACGTTTAAGGACAGTCTGACAAAACACGTCACGTTTAAGGACAGTCTGAACACGTCACGTTTAAGGACAGTCTGACAAAACACGTCACGTTTAAGGACAGTCTGACAAAACACGTCACGTTTAAGGACAGTCTGACAAAACACGTCACGTTTAAGGACAGTCTGACAAAACACGTCACGTTTAAAGACAGTCTGACAAAACACGTCACGTTTAAGGACAGTCTGAACACGTCACGTTTAAAGACAGTCTGAACATGTCACGTTTAAAGACAGTCTGACAAAACACATCACGTTTAAAGACAGTCTGAACACGTCACGTTTAAAGACAGTCTGACAAAACACGTCACGTTTAAAGACAGTCTGAACACGTCACGTTTAAGGACAGTCTGAACACGTCACGTTTAAGGACAGTCTGAACTTTGTCACGTTTAAAGACAGTCTGACAAAACACGTCACGTTTAAGGACAGTCTGACAAAACACGTCACGTTTAAGGACAGTCTGAACACGTCACGTTTAAGGACAGTCTGAACACGTCACGTTTAAAGACAGTCTGAACACGTCACGTTTAAAGACAGTCTGACAAAACACGTCACGTTTAAAGACAGTCTGAACACGTCATGTTTAAAGACAGTCTGAACACGTCATGTTTAAAGACAGTCTGAACACGTCAGGTTTAAGGACAGTCTGAACTTTGTCACGTTTAAAGACAGTCTGACAAAAACGTCACGTTTAAGGACAGTCTGAACACGTCACGTTTAAGGACAGTCTGACAAAACACGTCACGTTTAAAGACAGTCTGAACACGTCACGTTTAAAGACAGTCTGAACACGTCACGTTTAAAGACAGTCTGAACATGTCACGTTTAAAGACAGTCTGAACACGTCACGTTTAAGGACAGTCTGAACACGTCACGTTAAAAGACAGTATGAACACGTCACGTTTAAAGACAGTCTGAACACGTCATGTTTAAAGACAGTCTGAACACGTCATGTTTAAAGACAGTCTGAACACGTCACGTTTAAGGACAGTCTGAACTTTGTCACGTTTAAAGACAGTCTGACAAAACACGTCACGTTTAAGGACAGTCTGACAAAACACGTCACGTTTAAAGACAGTCTGACAAAACACGTCACGTTTAAGGACAGTCTGAACACGTCACGTTTAAAGACAGTCTGACAAAACACGTCACGTTTAAAGACAGTCTGAACATGTCACGTTTAAAGACAGTCTGACAAAACACGTCACGTTTAAAGACAGTCTGAACACGTCACGTTTAAAGACAGTCTGAACACGTCACGTTTAAAGACAGTCTGAACACGTCACGTTTAAAGACAGTCTGACAAAACACGTCACGTTTAAAGACAGTCTGAACACGTCATGTTTAAAGACAGTCTGAACACGTCATGTTTAAAGACAGTCTGAACACGTCAGGTTTAAGGACAGTCTGAACTTTGTCACGTTTAAAGACAGTCTGACAAAACACGTCACGTTTAAGGACAGTCTGACAAAACACGTCACGTTTAAGGACAGTCTGAACACGTCACGTTTAAGGACAGTCTGACAAAACACGTCACGTTTAAAGACAGTCTGAACACGTCACGTTTAAAGACAGTCTGAACACGTCACGTTTAAAGACAGTCTGAACATGTCACGTTTAAAGACAGTCTGAACACGTCAGTTTAAAAACAGTCTGAACACGTCACGTTTAAGGACAGTCTGAACACGTCACGTTTAAAGACAGTCTGAACACGTCACGTTTAAAGACAGTCTGACAAAACACGTCACGTTTAAAGACAGTCTGAACACGTCATGTTTAAAGACAGTCTGAACACGTCATGTTTAAAGACAGTCTGAACACGTCAGGTTTAAGGACAGTCTGAACTTTGTCACGTTTAAAGACAGTCTGACAAAACACGTCACGTTTAAGGACAGTCTGACAAAACACGTCACGTTTAAGGACAGTCTGAACACGTCACGTTTAAGGACAGTCTGAACACGTCACGTTTAAAGACAGTCTGAACACGTCACGTTTAAAGACAGTCTGACAAAACACGTCACGTTTAAAGACAGTCTGAACACGTCATGTTTAAAGACAGTCTGAACACGTCAGGTTTAAAGACAGTCTGAACACGTCAGGTTTAAGGACAGTCTGACAAAACACGTCACGTTTAAAGACAGTCTGAACACGTCACGTTTAAAGACAGTCTGAACACGTCACGTTTAAAGACAGTCTGAACACGTCAGGTTTAAGGACAGTCTGAACAAGTCACGTTTAAAGACAGTCTGACAAAACACGTCACGTTTAAAGACAGTCTGAACAAGTCTCGTTTAAGGACAGTCTGACAAAACACGTCACGTTTAAAGACAGTCTGAACACGTCACGTTTAAAGACAGTCTGAACACGTCAGTTTAAAGACAGTCTGAACACGTCAGTTTAAAGACAACATACTGCTGCTAATGTACAGATGTAAACATACTGCTGCTAATGTACAGATGTAAACATACTGCTGCTAATGTACAGATGTAAACATACTGCTGCTAATGTACAGATGTAAACATACTGCTGCTAATGTACAGGTGTAAACATACTGCTGCTAACATGTACAGATGTAAACATACTGCTGCTAATGTACAGGTGTAAACATACTACTGCTAATGTACAGATGTAAACATACTGCTGCTAATGTACAGGTGTAAACATACTGCTGCTAACATGTACAGATGTAAACATACTGCTGCTAATGTACAGGTGTAAACATACTACTGCTAATTTACAGATGTAAACATACTGCTGCTAATGTACAGGTGTAAACATACTGCTGCTAACATGTACAGATGTAAACATACTGCTGCTAATGTACAGGTGTAAACATACTGCTGCTAATGTACAGATGTAAACATACTGCTGCTAATGTACAGGTGTAAACATACTGCTGCTAACATGTACAGATGTAAACATACTGCTGCTAATGTACAGGTGTAAACATACTGCTGCTAACATGTACAGATGTAAACATACTGCTGCTAATGTACAGGTGTAAACATACTACTGCTAATGTACAGATGTAAACATACTGCTGCTAATGTACAGATGTAAACATACTACTGCTAACATGTACAGATGTAAACATACTGCTGCTAATGTACAGGTGTAAACATACTGCTGCTAACATGTACAGATGTAAACATACTGCTGCTAATGTACAGGTGTAAACATACTGCTGCTAACATGTACAGATGTAAACATACTGATGCTAATGTACAGGTGTAAACATACTGCTGCTAACATGTACAGATGTAAACATACTGCTGCTAATGTACAGGTGTAAACATACTACTGCTAATGTACAGATGTAAACATACTGCTGCTAATGTACAGATGTAAACATACTACTGCTAACATGTACAGATGTAAACATACTGCTGCTAATGTACAGGTGTAAACATACTGCTGCTAACATGTACAGATGTAAACATACTGCTGCTAATGTACAGGTGTAAACATACTGCTGCTAACATGTACAGATGTAAACATACTGCTGCTAATATACAGGTGTAAACATACTGCTGCTAACATGTACAGATGTAAACATACTGATGCTAATGTACAGGTGTAAACATACTGCTGCTAACATGTACAGATGTAAACATACTGCTGCTAATGTACAGGTGTAAACATACTGCTGCTAACATGTACAGATGTAAACATACTGATGCTAATGTACAGGTGTAAACATACTGCTGCTAACATGTACAGATGTAAACATACTGCTGCTAATGTACAGGTGTAAACATACTGCTGCTAACATGTACAGATGTAAACATACTGCTGCTAATGTACAGAGTGTAAACATACTGCTGCTAACATGATGTACAGATGTAAACATACTGCTGCTAATATACAGGTGTAAACATACTGCTGCTAACATGTACAGATGTAAACATACTGATGCTAATGTACAGGTGTAAACATACTGCTGCTAACATGTACAGATGTAAACATACTGCTGCTAATGTACAGGTGTAAACATACTACTGCTAATGTACAGATGTAAACATACTGCTGCTAATGTACAGATGTAAACATACTGCTGCTAATGTACAGATGTAAACATCCTGCTGCTAATGTACAGATGTAAACATACTGCTGCTAATGTACAGATGTAAACATACTGCTGCTAATGTACAGATGTAAACATACTGCTGCTAATGTACAGATGTAAACATACTGAACATATATTTTCCATTTTACAGTAATAATTGTAATATTTTTTTTTTAATTTGTCATATTCCTCTCTCTGGTCCTGTGTCTGGTCCTGTCTCTGGTCCTGTCTCTGGTCCTGTCTCTGGTCCTGTCTCTGGTCCTGTCTCTGGTCCTGTCTCTGGTCTTGTCTCTGGTCCTCTTCTGGTCCTGTCTCTGGTCCTGGGACAGTGGCTCCCAGTCATTGTTAGATTACAGTCAGAGTGACTCCTGCTGTAGTCACAATGACTCCAGGACAGAAAGATGTAAAAGGAACATTCTAATATCTTAGTTTAGTAATGTGTGTGCGTGTGTGCGTGTGTGCGCGTGTGCGCGTGTGCGCGTGTGCGTGTGTGCGTGTGCGCATGTGCGTGTGTGTGTGTGTGTGTGTGTAGTCAAAGACGAGGAGCATCTCAAGGACTGACCATGGATCTTTTATAATATCTGGAGTACAGCTTGGAGCAGAAGGACCATGTTGGACTCTCACAGAACCTGACACAGAACTTGACACAGAACCTGACAGAGAACATGACACAGAACCTGACACAGAACCTGACACAGAACCTGACAGAGAACCTGACACAGAACCTGACACTGAACCTGACAGAGAACCTGACACAGAACCTGACAGAGAACCTGACACAGAACCTGACAGAGAACCTGACACAGAACCTGACACAGAACCTGACAGAGAACCTGACAGAGAACCTGACAGAGAACCTGACACAAAACCTGACAGAGAACCTGACACAGAACCTGACACTGAACCTGACAGAGAACCTGGCAGAGAACCTGACACAGAACCTGACACTGAACCTGACAGAGAACCTGGCAGAGAACCTGACAGAGAACCTGACACTGAACCTGACAGAGAACCTGACACTGAACCTGACAGAGAACCTGACACAGAACCTGACACAGAACCTGACAGAGAACCTGACACAGAACCTGACAGAGAACTTGACACAGAACCTGACACTGAACCTGACAGAGAACCTGACACAGAACCTGACAGAGAACATGACACAGAACCTGACACAGAACCTGACACAGAACCTGACACAGAACCTGACACAGAACCTGACACAGAACCTGACAGAGAACCTGACACAGAACCTGACACTGAACCTGACAGAGAACCTGACACAGAACCTGACAGAGAACCTGACACAGAACCTGACACTGAACCTGACAGAGAACCTGACACAGAACCTGACACAGAACCTGACAGAGAACCTGACAGAGAACCTGACACAGAACCTGACACAGAACCTGACACTGAACCTGACAGAGAACCTGACACAGAACCTGACAGAGAACCTGACAGAGAACCTGACAGAGAACCTGACACAGAACCTGACACAGAACCTGACACTGAACCTGACACAGAACCTGACACAGAACCTGACACAGAACCTGACACTGAACCTGACACAGAACCTGACACAGAACCTGACACAGAACCTGACACTGAACCTGACAGAGAACCTGACACAGAACCTGACAGAGAACCTGACACAGAACCTGACACAGAACCTGACACTGAACCTGACAGAGAACCTGACACAGAACCTGACACAGAACCTGACAGAGAACCTGACAGAGAACCTGACACAGAACCTGACACAGAACCTGACACTGAACCTGACAGAGAACCTGACACAGAACCTGACAGAGAACCTGACAGAGAACCTGACAGAGAACCTGACACAGAACCTGACAGAGAACCTGACAGAGAACCTGACAGAGAACCTGACACAGAACCTGACACAGAACCTGACACTGAACCTGACACAGAACCTGACACAGAACCTGACACAGAACCTGACAGAGAACCTGACACTGAACCTGACACTGAACCTACAGCTTTCATTACTTGGAAATGATCACGTTTTGAAAAGGTTAAACATTAAACAAATGTTTTAATGTAGATCTGGATTTTGTGTTAATTTATTTGGTTTCAGTTTGACTTCCTGTTTCCTGTAGATTGTCTGCCCCGCCCTCATGTGTTTCACCTGTGTTTGTTTCTCTTTCCACCTGTGTCTCTCTGTGTCCATATGTACCTGTGTCTCTCTGTGTCTATATGTACCTGTGTCTCTGTTTCTATATGTACCTGTGTCTCTCTGTGTCTATATGTACCTGTGTCTCTGTGTCTATATGTACCTGTGTCTCTGTTTCTATATGTACCTGTGTCTCTCTGTGTCTATATGTACCTGTGTCTCTGTTTCTATATGTACCTGTGTCTCTCTGTGTCTCATATGTACCTGTGTCTCTGTGTCTATATGTACCTATGTCTCTGTTTCTATATGTACCTGTGTCTCTCTGTGTCTCATATGTACCTGTGTCTCTGTTTCTATATGTACCTATGTCTCTCTGTGTCTATATGTACCTGTGTCTCTCTGTGTCTCTCTGTGTCTATATGTACCTGTGTCTCTGTTTCTATATGTACCTGTGTCTCTCTGTGTCTCATATGTACCTATGTCTCTGTGTCTATATGTACCTATGTCTCTGTTTCTATATGTACCTGTATCTCTCTGTGTCTCATATGTACCTGTGTCTCTGTGTCTATATGTACCTATGTCTCTCTGTGTCTATATGTACCTGTGTCTCTCTGTGTCTCTCTGTGTCTATATGTACCTGTGTCTCTGTTTCTATATGTACCTGTGTCTATATGTACCTGTGTCTCTGTGTCTAAATGTACCTGTGTCTCTCTGTGTCTATATGTACCTGTGTCTCTGTGTCTATATGTACCTGTGTCTCTCTGTGTCTATATGTACCTGTGTCTCTCCGTGTCTATGTACCTATGTCTCTGTTTCTACATGTACCTGTGTCTATATGTACCTGTGTCTCTGTGTCTAAATGTACCTGTGTCTCTCTGTGTCTATATGTACCTGTGTCTCTGTTTCTCTCTGTGTCTATATGTACCTGTGTCTCTCTGTGTCTATGTACCTGTGTCTCTGTGTCCATATGTACCTGTGTTGACCCAATATTGTACCTGTGCTCCTCTCTGCTTGTTGCTGGTCTTTATTTAATTACAAGTAAAGAAACAGACTTGAAGTAATTCCAAAACTCTCCTTTCTCCCTGTTTCAGTCTTCTTTCCTCTCTCCTCTCTCCTCTCCTCTCTCGCCTCTCTCCTTCTCTCCTCTCTCTCCCCTCTCTCCCTCTCTCCTCTCTCCCCCTCTTTCCTCTCTCCCTCTCTCTCCCTCTCTCTCCCCTCTCTCCCCCGCTTTCCTCTCCCCATCTCTTTCCCCTCTCTCCCCTTACCCCCCTCTCTCCCTCTCTCCCCCTCTTTCCTCTCCCCCTCTTTCCTCTCCCCCTCTCTCTCCCCTCTCTCCCCCTCTCCCCACTCTCTCCTCTCCACAACTTCTCCATCCCTGAGATGCCTCTCTCTGGGACTGCATGTGTCGGAACGCGCGAACGACACGGACCTCCACCAATCACAGCCCCGCACCCTTCGCGCTTCCACCAATCCCTGCTCCCTCTGCTCCATGTGGGCGTATCCACCGGCTCCCCTCGCCGTTTTTTGGAGTTTGCTAAATTACTGCAGCAGGAGAAGCCGCCAGAGCCCCTCTCTCTCACCCCTCTCCCACCGCGGACCACATCTGGACTCCCGCCTGCGTGCGCCTCTCCCACAGCTGTGCCACGGGAGAACGACACTTCACGCGTAGAGGAATTCCCGCTCCAGAAATCCATCTATTTCCCCCATTTTCTTTCTATTATTCCCCACACACAATTATTCGTTTTTTGTTTTTTTGTTACTACACACCAGTGCCATGGAGGAAGACACTACAGCGTTTCCAACTTGATCTCTTCACAGACAATGGGAATAGACCACACGTCGGTGCCAATGCTGCGAATACGGCTGCTATTACTGCGAGTCCTGTAGAAGAGGAAGAGGAAGAGGAGCTACTGCTGAGACTACGTGTGGAGACCAGACCTGAGAAGACCCTCCAAAGAGACCCAGAAACCCCCTCAGCTCTGTGGATTTGTACCCGTGCACCCCGTCACCAGTCTGAGGCATGCCCAGCACTGGTTCTGGGAAGGATTTACGCACCGCTCTGGAACGCTAGACTTGGTTGGACCCCACGTTTCGGAGAGTTGATGGTTTTCTATCGCGTTCTCATGTCTTCCGCTGGTCGCTGTCCAAGGTGCTGAAATTGCGTCGGCTTTCTCCACGGGACGGTCGGTGCTTGGGTGGTGGTGGTGCCCAATGATGTCGTCCAAAGAGTCACCTTGGAGGTCGTAACCGAGGCGCCCCGGGGGAGTTGTAGATTTGATTTGACCAAGAAGAAGTGACCCAATAAGAAACAAAAAGAAGAAAATTTGTGGCTAAAAAAATAAACGTATATAAATCCATCAACAATGAAGATCTCCAAACTACGCCGACTCAACGTGCTGGGGCTGTACGTGTGGGAGACGGTGCTGTTCTTCAGGTAAGACTTTGCTAAGGAAGCGTTTGGCTGTGACTTGGGTTTTTAAAGCTGGGGTATGTAACTTCCCCAGGCCCCAAAAGAAAGAGCTTGCAAACTGTGAACAAAACCAGACCGCAACAGGCTTTTTGTGTTTTTTTGTAGCACAGTTTATACCCAAAACAAGACAGAAACAACCGCACAAAGCATTAAAACAATCACAGTACAGAAAAAATCATTGGAAAACCTGGATCTGAAATAGAAAACACATGCTATCTTTCGCATACATGTGGGAAAAGAGCCCTGTGAGTCACTGATTAGCAATCTGATTAGCTGAGGTTGATGTTGATCCTAATTTTAACTTTTCTGTCTGAAAAAGCCGAGCCAAAGAAGCGACAGATGAAAAATACATGTGGAAACGCAAATTATGTAGATTCTATGACTGTGTGGTTTGAAAGTTAGGTACCCCAGCTTTAAACGTGTTGTTTTGGTCTAAATGAACTTGCTTGAGGACAGTTACGCATATGTATCGATCCAAGAAAGTGCCGCCAATGCCTAAATGTTTATGCAATCCAATTAACCAAGAGTCCTGTATCGAGCGGATCCAAACTGGCCAAATCATTGCACACTGACATTCTGACGTTATAACCCAATCTAATCTAATCCCTGCCGTGGAGAGTTCCCCTGTTTCTCTGTGTTCGCGGTGTGTGCGCGTGGGAGAGAGAGACGCATTTGCATTTTGATGACTTCAGGGTCCGGTTTGCTCCCCACGCAGTTCAGGGTTTGTGTCGTGCGTAAAGACGCCAGGGCGCAGCAGTGTGGTGTACATGAGGGTGTAGCGGTGTGGTGTACGTGAGAGTGTACGTGATGTGTACGTGACAGTGTAGGTGACGGTGTACTTGACGTGTTCGTGACGGTGTACGTGACGGTGTACATGACGTGTAGGTGACGGTGTACGTGATGTGTACGTGACGTATATGTGACGTGTAGGTGACGTGTACATGACGTGTATGTGACGTGTACATGACGTGTACGTGACGGTGTGCGTGACGTATACGTGACGTGTACGTGACGGTGTACGTGGCGGTGTATGTGACGTGTACTTGACGGTGTATGTGACGGTGTATGTGACGTGTACGTGACGGTGTACGTGACGTGTACGTGACTTGTACATGAGGGTGTACGTGACGTGTATGTGACGGTGTACGTGACGGTGTACTTGACGGTGTACATGACGGTGCACGTGACGGTGTACATGACGGTGTACATGGCGGTGTATGTGACGTGTACATGACGGTGTATGTGACGGTGTACTTGACGGTGTATGTGACGGTGTACTTGACGGTGTATGTGACGTGTACGTGACGGTGTATGTGACGGTGTACGTGACGGTGTACGTGACGGTGTACGTGACGGTGTATGTGACGTGTACGTGACGGTGTATGTGACGGTGTACGTGACGGTGTACGTGACAGTGTATGTGACGGTGTACGTGACAGTGTATGTGACGGTGTACTTGACGGTGTATGTGACGGTGTACGTGACGGTGTACGTGACGGTGTACGTGACGGTGTACGTGACGGTGTACTTGACGGTGTATGTGACGGTGTACGTGACGGTGTATGTGACGGTGTATGTGACGTGTACGTGACGGTGTACGTGACGGTGTATGTGACGTGTATGTGACGGTGTATGTGACGGTGTACGTGACGGTGTACATGACGGTGTACTAGACGGTGTACGTGACGGTGTGAGTGACGGTGTACTTGACGGTGTACATGAAGGTGTACGTGACGGTGTATGTGACGTGTACGTGACGGTGTGAGTGACGGTGTACTTGACGGTGTACATGAAGGTGTACGTGACGGTGTACGTGACGGTGTACATGACGGTGTACGTGACGTGTACGTGACTTGTACATGAAGGTGTACTTGACGGTGTACATGACGGTGTATGTAACGTGTACGTGACGGTTTACTTGACGTGTACGTGACAGTGTACATGACGGTGTACGTGACAGTGTACGTGACGGTGCACTTGACGTGTACGTGACGGTGTACTTGACGGTGTACGTGACGTGTAAGTGACAGTGTACATGACGGTGTACGTGACGGTGTACGTGACAGTGTACATGACGGTGTACTTGGCGGTGTACGTGACAGTGTACGTGACAGTGTACATGACGGTGTACTTGACGGTGTACGTGACAGTGTACGTGACAGTGTACGTGACAGTGTACGTGACAGTGTACATGACGGTGTACGTGACAGTGTACGTGACAGTGTACGTGACGGTGTACTTGACGGTGTACGTGACAGTGTACATGACGGTGTACTTGACGGTGTACGTGACAGTGTACATGACGGTGTACTTGACGGTGTACGTGACGGTGAACATGACAGTGAACATGACGGTGTACTTGACGGTGTATGTGACGGTGTCCGTGACAGTGTACGTGACAGTGTACATGACGGTGTACTTGGCGGTGTACGTGACAGTGTACATGACGGTGTACTTGACGGTGTACGTGACAGTGTACATGACGGTGTACTTGACGGTGTACGTGACAGTGAACATGACAGTGAACATGACGGTGTATATGACGGTGTACGTGACGGTGTACGTGACAGTGTACGTGATGGTGAACATGACGTTTACGGGGGTTTGGCACCTAGGGCAAACCATGACCACGCACGGGTGTTTTAGTCAACAGACAGGGGGGGGGGGGGGGGGGGGGGGGGGGATGGGGGGGGGGGGGTTACTTAGTAAACTTTGTGACTTAGGACACAATACAATACACAATACAATTTATTCTTGTATAGCCCTAGGTCACAACAGAAGTCATCTCAGAGGACTTAACAAAACCATTGAAATCACCAACACAGGTCAGAGAATCAACAGTTAAAACACATGAAGAATATAAAGCACACACAGAAGAAAATGTCCATACATGTTGTAGAATGCTAAAGTGTCCTGATCATCACCAATCCTTTCTGTTGGACACTAACTGTCCAACAAGACCCTCCTGCATCGACAAGGAAAAACTCTTAAAAAACCCAGTGGGAAAAAGTGAGAAACCTTGGAGGAGAACTAGGGAAACCCACAGGGAGGGAGACCCATATGAGAAAGGGATCCGCTCCTCCGGACGGACAGGCTAATGATCTAGGACCTAAGCTAGCTACAGAACGTGGACCAGTGGACGCTGAACGTGGACAGGTCCGGTGCAGGACTGAAGCACTCCCAGGCGGGTCGGGCGGGGCAGTCCGCAGGTGTAGATGGAAGAGGCCAGGCTCAGAGATCCCGTCATCGTACCATGAAACAGACAATGGGACAACGGGTGAATAGCAATGAACAAACTACAGTCAGAATCCTAAAAATGCTAAACAGATAAAGTAGGAAGGAGGAGAGGATAGTGCTCAAGTTACCATACTTCTCCAGCAGGGGGCTCCCTATGCAGCTTGACTAACACTCTGAGGAGTTTAACCTTCTCCGAGTCTTACCTTCCTAGCCATATGCTAAACTAAAGAGGACTGTTTTAAACCTAGCCTTGAATAAAGAATAACATACAGCATAATATATAACATAATATACAACATAACACAATACATTATTGAATAATATATAACATAATATATAACATAATACAGCATATATATATAATATATACACTACATATTATATATTACCTAATTATATGCTAAATTAAAGTAAAGTGCTTTAAGCCTGGCCTTGAATGTGGAGACCGTATCTGCTTCCTTAACATAAATGGGAAGCTGATTCCACAGTAAAGGAGCTTGGTAGCTAAATGCTCTGCCACCAACAGTGACCTTTGAGACCTTAGGGACCACCAGACGTCTGGCGTTTTGTGAGCGCAACGCTCGACCTGGTTGATACGACACTAACGTGTCTTGGAGATAAGAAGGAGCCAAGCCATTTATGGCTTTATATGTTAAGAGTAGGATTTTAAACTTTATTCTGTACTCCACAGGGAGCCAGTGGAGTGATTTTAACACCGGAGTTATGTGCTCCCTCCTTTTGGTACCTGTTAAGATCCTAGCTGCTGTATTCTGAACGAGCTGGAAGCTCTTCAAAGAGGCTTTAGGGCACGCTGCCAGTAAAGCGTTACAGTAGTCGAGCCTTGAGGTGACAAACGCGTGAATGAGTTTTTCCGCGTCACTTTTAGGAAGGAAATTCCTAATTTTAGCGATGTTCCGTAAGTGGAAGTACGCCGTTTTAGTTGCTTGGCTTATATAAGCCTTGAAGGAGAGTTCTTGGTCAAAAATGACTCCAAGATTCCTCACAGTGTTACTGGGTATTATACTGACATTATCGAGAGTAACCATCTGGTTAGTGAGGGAGTCACGCAGGCGCTTCGGACCGAGTAGGATCACTTCTGTCTTCTCCGGGTTGAGAAGTAGGAAGTTAAGAGTCATCCACATTTTAAGGTCCTTTATGCAGGCACTGAGCTTTTCTAGCTGATCTGTCTGATTAGGCTTCATCGACAGATAAAGCTGTGTGTCATCTGCATAGCAGTGGAAATTAATTCCATGCTTTTTAATAATGTTTCCCAGTGGCAGCATGTAGAGAGTAAAAAGAATCGGTCCGAGTACCGAACCCTGCGGCACACCGAATTCCACTCCAGAATAAGGCGACGAGTCCTGATTCACATTGACGAAGTGATATCGATCTGATAAATAGGATTTAAACCAGCCAAGGGCTGTTCCTCTAAGACCTATATCACATTCTAGCCTCTGCAGTAGAATGCTGTGGTCTATTGTGTCAAATGCAGCACTAAGGTCCAGTAGGACCAGCACTGACACTTGTCCATTATCGGCAGCTAGTAGTAAGTCATTTGTGACTTTGACTAGTGCCGTTTCAGTGCTATGATGATCTCTGAATCCTGATTGAAAGACTTCAAACATATCATTTTCCTGCAGGTGGCAGCAAAGCTGCTCAGCTATAAGTTTTTCCAGGATTTTAGATATAAAAGTGAGGTTTGAGATCGGTCTGTAGTTTGTAAGTATTTCTGGGTCCAGGTTTGTTTTCTTCAGAAGGGGTTTGATTACCGCGGTTTTAAAAGCTTGTGGGACATAGCCACATTGTATGGATGCGTTTATTATATTTACGATAGGCTCAATTATCAAAGGAAGTATGTCTTTGAAGAGCCATGTCGGGACTGCGTCTAACATGCAAGTTGAGGCTTTTGAGGATGTGACCACAGAGATCACCTCTGCTTGGCTCACAGCCATGAATTTATTAAGGCCCACTGAAGAGTCTAAGTGGGAAGTCACGTATGCCGCTTCAACCTGTCCACCACTAACAGCAGGAGCAACCTCCTCCAGCTTGTCACGGATGGATGTAATTTTATTATTAAAGAAGTGGAGAAAGTCGACACTGCTCAGTGAGCTTGGAATTTTAGGCTCGATTGCGCTATGGCAGTTTGTGAGTTTAGCGACGGTACCAAACAAAAATCTACTGTTGTTTTTATTCGCTTCTATTAAAGTTGAATAGTATTGAGTTCGAGCCCCGCGAAGGGCCTTCTTGTAGTTTCGGAGACCTGCTTTCCACTCCCTGTGGACAGGCTCCGAGTGGGAGTGGCGATATAGCCTCTCCAATTTTCTGACGTCCTGTTTTAAAGTGTGGAGTTGAACACTGTACCAGGGCGACGATATGGAAGCCCGTTTCCGCCATGTAAAAAAAAAAAAAAAGCCTACAGAAAGTTAAAATTTTGACTTTAAAAGTCAAAATTTCGACTTTAAAAGTCAAAATTTCGACTTTAAAAGTCAAAATTTCGACTTTTAAAAGTCAAAATTTCGACTTTAAAAGTCAAAATTTTGACTTTAAAAGTCAAAATTTCGACTTTTAAAAGTCAAAATTTTGACTTTAAAAGTCAAAATTACGAGTTTTCAACTGCGCATGTGCAGTTGAAAACTCGTATGTGTTGCTGTCTGGAACGGTCTCTGGTCATCCCTGTTATAGATCCATGACCATGGGTCATCCTCTACCTGCAGATTATGTGAAGATTTTGCCTACAGACAGTGACCACATCCATGAAGTAGCAGCAATAATGTTGTGGTAGTAATCGCGTTAAAATGCAAACGGTCTCTCCGTTTATGATTAGAATCCGCTTCAGAAGCCTCTATTTAGTTTATCCTAAACGGACTGTGGAAGATTAATAATAAAACACATGTGGCTGTTCAAAGTCATTGAGCATCAACTGGTGACATCTGGTCAGTATCACGGCTATCGATGGATGCACCAGAAATGCAGTGAATAATATTGTGACTGACAGAGAGACCGTTCGCGATTACTGGACAGTGAGGGAGGTCCGCAGACAGAGGCAGGAGAACCACAGACAGAGGCAGGTAAACCACAGACAGAGGCAGGAGAACCACAGACAGAGGCAGGTAAACCACAGACAGAGGCAGGAGAACCACAGACAGAGGCAGGAGAACCACAGACAGAGGCAGGAGAACCACAGACAGAGGCAGAAGAACCACAGACAGAGGCAGGAGAACCACAGACAGAGGCAGGAGAACCACAGACAGAGACAGGAGAACCACAGTCACGGGCACTGACAATAATACCCTTTTGGAATTGCGATCAGTGCATTGAAGAGTATGTGACGTGTTTGCGTGCATGCGGGGGTGAGCTGATGGAGCGTGCGGGTAAAGTTGTTGGCGTATGAGCAAGAACACAGAGACATACAGGGAATAAGTACCTTGTCTGATTATTTTATTGTGACAAAATAAAGCCCACGACTCTTTTAGCAACAATCCGGAGAAATAACTCCGCAGATAACAGTGAGGGTCTTTGAAAAGGGTTAGAAATAGATAAACCCATTATAGATGCATGAATAAAACCCCGTACTCAACACGTAGAAAGCGCATCCTTTCAGCCGTGGAAATACTCGCTCCGTGTGGACCCCTCTCAGCGCCCATCGTCTGGTCAGAGTGGTCTATAGCAGATTGGATTGGAATGTCTCGATGGCTCATTTTCCTTTGATTTATTATAAAAACGTATTGCTCACATTATTTGTTACTATGTCGAAATAAGAAGTCGTTTGATTTAAATGCTGTATATATGTAAATTGAATTTAACATAAATAAATAAAAAGACAGCTCCTCCCTGCCTCCTACGACCGCGGTCTGGGGCTTAAACAGGAACGTTTTACAGAATCAATCAAACAACATTATTTCTGGCTACTTCAAGGATGCAGTGGTCGCTGTCAGCAATATCTTCACATAATCTGCAGGTGCAGGACGTCCAGAGACCGTTCCAGACAACAACACACACGAGTTTTCAACTGCACATGCGCAGTTGAAAACTCATAATTTTGACTTTTAAAGTCGAAATTTTGACTTTTAAAGTCGTAATTTTGACTTTTAAAGTCGAAATTTTGACTTTTAAAGTCGTAATTTTGACTTTTAAAGTCGAAATTTTGACTTTTAAAAGTCGAAATTTTGACTTTTAAAGTCGTAATTTTGACTTTTAAAGTCAAAATTTTGACTTTTAAAGTCGAAATTTTGACTTTTAAAGTCAAAATTTTGACTTTCTGTAGGCTTTTTTTTTTTTTTTACATGGCGGAAACGGGCTTCCATACGACGATGATCTAATCCTAATGGTTTTCTGTTTTAAAGGAGCTGCTG